ATTGCGAACGGCCAGATGGAGTGCTCGCGTCTTTGCTCATTCTCCATTTTTGTTGTCTCACCTTGCATTTAGTTTAAATTCATTGTTGATTTTATTTAGTTCACGGTATCTACTGCTAATTTGGAAAAATGCTACTTGATCTTACTCATGTAGTAACTGATGTAGTAATTGGATGGTCCTCTGGAGAAAAAGATGTTTTAAATATTATGCTTGGCTACTCTCCAAAAGGTAGGCAGCATATCACCAGCTTCTGTCCTTGATCCACCATTTGAAAAATTCACTTCAATTACCTTTAGAGTTCCTTGAATGAGGCAAATCATCACTCTAAATGCAAAGCATCTGGGTGATAATTGATCAAATACGGTAACCGTTCAAAAGAATTATTTCTGTGCATGGCAATATAAGTTTACTTTAACAAGAGCAACATTTATTTTAGCAAGAAAATTTGCAGTCTACATTCAATATATTTATTCCTTAAAATAAGACCTATCCTGCTGTATGTATTAAGTATTGTCAGTAATAATACATTGGAAAATACTACGAGTGTTAACTGGATTTGATGTTCATAAGCACAGAAGAGAGAGGCATGAAAGACAGCAATATGTAATGCAGCTCATAGAATGAACTGCCTTAAAAAAATGCTGTGAAGTGAAGTAAACTTGAAATCACGGAGGCAGTTCTTCAAAAAATAAAAATGTAGCCTACCCAGAATTTCTTACAGGTAATGCTTTTACATCAGCATGTAATTCAGAAACTCACTGGCAGAAGTCGTCATTTAAGCTAAGAATGCATGGTCCTGAAGGATGTGTCTTACAACGAAAACGTTTCTGGTATCTTGTTATCCTTCTTAACCATAAGTTATGCTTAGGAAATAGTAACCTATGATTGCACAGATTAAATCATTTTTTACAACAGCAATTCCCAAACTATAGCCAGTTGGCTCCTCTTGGTCAATGGAGCTATGGTCACCAGTCTGCAACAAAAAGTTGTACGAACTCCTTGGTTCCATGTGGCTGCGCTCTCGGTCCACCACTAACACAAAACTTTATGACCAGGGGGTCACAAATGAGATGAGAAGACATATTGTTGTCTTGGGACTGCCTCCTGAGTGCTTCTTGCTCTTGCACGTGGGGTGGCAGCCAGCAGCCGTGCCCGGGTGGCCAGCCCCCATCCTGACCCCCGCCACGTGGCGCAGTGCAGCTGGCGGGCAGCACAGGTACCCTGCTGCCTTTGTTTGGCTTCAAACACATCCAATGCAATGAGACAAGATTCAATCAGCCGTGTATGAGTATTACTCTAAAATAACATATAGGAGCTCTTGTAAAATGCTGAAACACTGCAGAACCTCTCCACGGACAGAATTTGGATACAGGAAGGTTGGCATCTGCTTTGCAGATATTATAATTAAAGAACTTTTGGTTTACCACAAGAAACTGAAAAAAAAATATATATATATATATATCAAATAGCAATTAAAGCCATTAGAAAGATACATAGATTCGATGGCTTTAAGAAAAGGAAGGCTTTTCCTGCAAGCCTGTAAGTTTATACACTAAATACAAACATGTTGCCATAACCAGTATGTAATGCTCATCGTCACAGAAAAGCCATGTATGATGTGTTTCAGTATGCTTCCATTAATTTATTGCAGAAAAAAAAACAAAGGACACTGCCCATATCAGAGGAGGCAGAAAGCTGCTGTGTGGCCCCGGGGGGCAGCAGGAGGCTGCAGGGCACGCACTGCCTGGCGGGGCTGGAAGGGCGCTGGGGCTCTCAGGCTGCTTGTGGGGTGGCTGCAGGCCCCACGCTTAGACCTGCTTTGTGGCAAACATGCTGATCATTCTATAAAGTTTGTAGGACTCACCCTAGTTGAGACTTATTCTTGCCACAGAAAATAAAATTACAGTGTTCTGTTTTAAATAAGCTTAGAATTAGTGGCGTTTAAATAAGCTCAGAATTAATTGCTCGTCTGGGGCAGCACTGAAGCATTCAGAAGGGTGTTAACTCCCCTGAGGGGTCTCAGCTCAACGCTGAGATGGACAGAGCTTAAGGACACGTCTCACAGACCAACCAAAGCAGGGATTGGGCACGCCTTGACAGAATCGTAAGGCACAGCCCCATGCACCGAGTGTCATAAAACCAGAGAGCTCCTCCTGGCAGACCCTAAGAACCTGCATTTCTCTTGAAGCAGTATGGCAGACTGCAAAAAGGGAAGCGATGGTTCTTGTGCTTCCTGGAGAAGGAAGCCTGGAGAGCCTGCTGATTAAAAATAGAAGAAAAAAGTAGAACAACAGAAAAAGAGAAGAAGCTCAGGCTTCAGCCAGGTGCTGATCAAAGAGCTTAGCCGCGTTCTGGGGCATAGCAGCGGACAGACACACGTCCTCCTTTCTTCCTGCGTCCCAGTCAGTCAGACGAGACTTCTGCCCAGGTTGGACACAGCTGAATGAAGCAGCAAACTCCTACCTTGTCCCAGGGTGGGCTGGTTTTGTTGTAGCGACTTATCAGGGAAAAGTAAAGAAAGGAAAAACACCCCGCAGGCCAGTTGCTTCTTTCAGGTCGCACCTACCTCTGTCAGGCAGCACACTGCATTCACTTGTTAGCTTTGTGCTACAAAGACCACTGCAAAGAGCTGCTCACGCAGAGGGATGTCCCAACAAACGCTGGCTGCGTGGGTCTGTAGGCAACACACGTGGAGGAAGGAAGGAAAGGGGCAGCAGCCGGCCGACCGAGGGGCTGCTGTTCGCTGATGCTCAAAGGCACACTGAGCAATTAAAAAAATATATTTGTAGGAATATGTTGTAACTTAAGTAATAAATGTTTTCCGAACTGCTTTCATACTTGGGTTTTACAGAGACATTGCTACTGATCTCTGCTTTCCACAAAGATGACAAAAATAAACTCTGCAAGGCACAGAAAATGAGGAGGAGGGAGATGCTGTGAGGAGATAAGTAATGGTTTTCAGTCCACAGACATTTCTAACAGCTCGCACGCACTTCTGCGCCTTTCTCCTCTATGTTCACCACCACCAAACGCTCTGCAGCACAAGGAGGGGACAAGGTAAATACATGGACTGTCTTTCAAACCCTCCCTGTGAGGGAATGCTTCAAGCATTCAGCATGGTCAGGGCTGTAATTTTGGGGATATTTGCTCTGGTTTCGTGCTGTGCTGGGCAGGGAGGTGAGCACTCCTGGAAGCTGCCCCCGGTGGGTCCCCAGCCTGTGCTGGGGGGAGGCAGGGCTGGTGAGCCCCGCAAACTTCCCCATTGTCTGCTAGGAAATTCAAGCTGCATGTTCCAGTTCTGCTGAATTATCCGTCCGGGGGAAAAAAAAAAAAATCAGGTCAAAACACCCATTCCTATTTTCAGTCTCATTATAACTTATCAGCTTGCCATTCTCTGCTGTCTATTCAACTCAGAAAAGATCACATCCACACGAAGAGCTGTTCCAGTTTTCTAACTAGCAGCAATATGGGACGTGATTCATCAGGTGGGCGAGATTTCACATGAGGAGCAGCTGTAGCGAGCAGACTCATCAGCATCCCAGCTGCATTTACTCTTACAAATCGAAGGCACATCTCCTAAACATTTCACTAACAGTAATATTACACATAAAAATCCAACCATGAAAATTTTGTTAATTTTGTAACAATTAGAGAGGAAGTCTACAGACCCCGCTAAACTACATTCACTTGGAAAACATATGCAGAGATTCAGAAATATTTTTTTATACCTTTTAAGTCAGTGAGACTTCTGCTATCAAGGTAGAAAAGACACTGGAGGTAAAACTTCCACAGACTTCAATGTGGCCAGGATTTCATCCCTCTAAATCATATCTTGGCACTCTGGCTGCAAGAAATCCAAGCAGACCAGAAATATGACAGGGCTTGAAGCCTGTAGCAGTCCGAAGCTGCCAGCTGGCATTTCAGCAGGTGGCCTGCCTGCTAGCTGGGCTCTGCAGCCAAACGAAAGGTAGAGGCGACAGCTGGACGTGCAAGCAGTTTCAGCAATGCTTTGCAGGCAGTGCTGGAAGCGGGTGTAACGCCCATCTGAGTGCGCTACTTCAGCCAGCAAGAAGAGGGAGCTGCCCAGACCTTGGACCAAACCGAAGCAATTAATTTAAAAGCAGACCTGTAATCACCACAGAAGTGGGTCTGTAGCAAGACCAGGTGATCTTTCTCTTCTAAATCTTTTAAAGCGTCCTGTGAATTGTAACAGCTTGGCTTAAAGCTTCTAGGTCTAGTACCTATCAAAGACACACGTTTCAATTTTACTGGCTTTGAACTTTGCTTTAAGCTAACACATTTCACCCATTTTTTACTGTCAATGAGATATCAAGAAATGTTCTTGCAGGAATTCCTTCTTGCAGTTTTTTACCTACTGCAATGTTCACACAGTCAAGGGCACGCTTTTACCATGGGCAGTTATAAGACCCTTCAAACATGACCTCAGGAATACACACAGAGAAAGTTCCTCACAAGAACAGCAGTAGGCTGTGGGACTGGCAGGCTGTGCTGTGCATATACATTTAACTGCATTTTTCATAATGCTGTTAGCTCATTAAGACACACAACACACGAGGCAGGTGCAAAGCTAAACAGGCAGGAGGCTCAGGTGCTCTGAAGGCCCGCTGGATGCGAATTGTAACCCAGGGAAGGCGAGGGCCACGAACACTGCAGCTTCACCTCCTTACATCTGTGCTCTCCTATTCCCTGCAGCTTCCCCTTTACCTCTGGAGCATATCTCCATTGAACCCGTATTTACGGGGCTCTCAGCAGGGAGCCCTGCAGGAACCCCTTGGCAAAGCAGAGGCTGTCCCACGAGCTCAGCATCAACCCTGGAGCCAGAGCTGCTGGGCACAGGGGCAGCTGCACCCATGGGTGCTGGAGGGGCAGGGAACACCCCCACCCACTGTGCCCGGCACAGGCACAGCCCCACCTGCAGCTGCTCGATAAGCCATGCTCCAGGAGAGAAGGGCACTAGAAAGGCCAAGACCAAAACATACCAGGAGGTGACTCACAAAGACTCCTCTCCAGATGCAGCACAGAGCCCAGGGTATCTGGATGTAAAGCAGTGAGAACAAACACATCCCCGGGTAGTAACGAGGCTTCAGCAGAAATTGGTTGGCAGTGTTTGGGCTGTAATATAAGCACAGATTAACATAACCAAGAGGTTACAAATTAAGCCTCTGAACAAATTAAAAACGCTAGCAATCAATGAGAACACAACAAGCCTTTCAGCTGATCTATTAGCAAAACAAGCACTAACCACATTAAGCTGCTTTTACAGAAATTATCAGGGCCTAATAAAAACAATCGACCAGTTCTCAAGCCAATGAAAGCAACCCAGCCAGCTGCAGCAGTTTAACCTCCCTTAGCTAGGGAAGGGGAGTGCCAGCTAAGGCAGGGTTGTGCTGAGGGGTTTGTCATCCACACTCAGCAAGGCACACGCTGCTCCTGCCCAGCAGGAGAGGGAAGCAAAACCTGGAATGCCCCAAAAAGTCTTCACTTGCGTTTGAAGAACCTTTATGCTTCCAATGCTGTATTTTTCTTCCTAAGCATTAAACAAACCGTCTAAATAAAATACCCTCAATCTCCTAATTAAGGGTCTGAAAATGTCTTTACTTTCACAGGCCTTTGTCCCGACTGTTTTTCTGTCTAATAAGTACTGGCAAAGCTACTCTGTAATTCTGATTTAAAAAATATCTGTAAACAGAAGAGTGTGGTAGATGAAGCAAAACTGCATTTCCAACATCGGCATACACATGACCACAGAATAATAAAGAAACAATAGACTTCATCCAGAACTTTCCAAAACATGCTGTCATTGTGCCTGGGGCTCCAGCTGCCAGCTCACAGTGCTCCTCGCTCTGCATCCAGCTTCAGAGGAACTTCCCTCTCCAGTGCTGGCGCCCAGCAATCAAACCCAGCCCCGCTGTGTTCTGGAATTAACTCGTGTTTAACATTCCCTTTCGTTAAGGCATTTCTCCCAGTTACAGGCTCTGTGCCTCTCCATGATGCCTTGTAGGAGGACCCTCTCCTTCCTGCGGCGGGCACAAAGTACCTGCCTTGGATGGGGAGAAATGTGTGTTCAACACGCTTTTTGTAGGCTCGGCATCTCTTGGAAAATGCCTGAAGGGCCCACTGGGGCTTTTCTAGCTCTAACCAGTGCTGCTGCAGTGCATGCAGGTGCAGTGGTGCCCCCGGAGAGCAGGGCTCCGTCCATCCAGCCTCTGCTACATCAGTCCCTGAACACCTGCTTAAGGCTCTGAGTCACTGACACCTCAGCCTTCAGTCTCTGCTGCCACTCCAAGGGAAAGTCATACTTCCAGCAGTACAACCAGCAGCGAATTCTAGTGACTGGGACAGAGAACAGTGAATATTCAGCTGTTTTGGCTGGGCAGGCATTTGGGATTATTCCAGCCTTTTGGGGCCTATTTTGTCAGACAAAGTTGGGAGAGATTGGATCAAGGCTGTTATGATCTATAGCCGAAAAGTCATTTCCAAGGTGAGCCTTTTCTTTGAACAACAGACTATGGTGAAATTCTTGTTTTGGACCTGTTTTTTTTTTGTTTGTTTGTTTGTTTGTTTGTTTGTTTTTGTTTTTGTTTTTGTTTTTGTTTCTTTTCAAAATGTTCCCACTGAGCTTAGAACCAGAACTTCACCTAGTTGCTTAAAGCAAGCGATCTTAACAGAAATGACATGCACGGTATTTCTAAACACAGGCTCCAGATTCCCACCTTCTCATGCATTCCTTCTTGTGAAAAATACTCTTTGCATTTCAATATCAAAAAGCTTGTTCCCAGACTAATATAAGTATCTTCTAAAATGCTTTCAGACATGAGCAAATATGTCACAGCCTGTGATTACTCTGCAGAGTAAAACAGAATAAAAATGCATTTATCTACAGGAAAAAATGCCCTTTAATCTTAGTACAAACCCACAAAATGTAGGTTGCATCTTAAACTGTTCTGAGCAGCTGAACTAGGTTAAAGAAAACTCCTTTGTACTCTTCATTTCTCATGCTTACAGCATTATCACTCACAATTAGGCGTGACATTTCAGTAAACATTGCTTGCATTGAGTTAATAGACAAAGCACACAGGAGACAGCTATCAGCTAAAGACAAAAAGAAGGGAAACAAAGCACTGATGAGGCAGACTTTTATGCTGGCAAGAGGAACTGCAGAAATCTGTGGATTGTCATTTTTACCTCCACCCAGACTAAACTCTTGGTATGTTGCCCACATGTACTTACGCACTTTCAAAGAATTAATATTAAGAGACTCAGCTGTAGAAAAAAAAAACTCTCAACCTTAAAGTAGCCCCTTTCATCTAAATTTTTCAGACATCTTAGGAAAGGAACCAAGTTTTAGTGATTTTAGTTTCCTGAACTTCTTACCTTGTATACCATGGATGAATAACTTCTATAATCATATTCACTAATTTTATTTAATGCTGAGTGGATCAGTGACACCTTACTGAACATGGGCTATTTGAGCATGGTGTTGTTTCCATTCAAAGTATGCATGCTGAAAAAATAAAATTGCAAACACGATACCTGTATGGAACAGATTTGCTGCTAGGCTCCATATTGTTTGAAAGGTTGTGAACTCTGACAAGATCATTTCATCACTGAGGGTTAGACCACAATCCCTCCATGTCGGATGGGAATTTACGCCCTGGGGACTTTCTGCCATTAGTTACAGTTGGGTTACTCATAGCATAATCATGCTATGAACAAGGCTACGGGCATCACTCGTACTTGGATCTAGGTTGCTAGATCTCAGGTTTAAGGTCATTTTTAAAGAACAAAAGATACATGTTGCATTCAATTCAGAAATGAAAACTGCTTTCCTTTATCTCTAAAAGTGACATAAAGAAAGACTACTCTATCTGCACATTAAGAAAATGTCAAAACGTTCCCCAAAGGTATCCAAATTAACATGTATGTAAATGATCTGTCACTTTGATTGCTGATAACAGTCAGTGTGTGCACAGCACTAAGTAGTTCAAGAAGAGATATGACTTACACTTTGTTATGTTGGGAGTAAGGGCAAGCCTTAGAAATAAATGCCATGTTTGCAAGCAGTCCTCAGTCTCCAGCCCCGGGGTTAGGCTGTGAATCATTCTTCCTTCTTCCCAGTTCACTTTCAGATACCGATCCAGACCCCAGGCTAGGAGGACGTGTCACTGCCTTGCAGCACATTATATGACTTTAGAATAGATTCTCCTTTGGTGAATGCTTTAGCTGTTCTCAAGAAAATCAGTTTCAAAGGACCATTTAAACACCATCTGGACAACAGGTTTATTCACAAAATATGCAAACCTATAACCATTAAATAGTAATGCAGCCAAGACAGGGGATTAATTAACTAAAAGCATTATTTCCTTTCTAATATACACACAATCTTGCATTTTTCTTAAAGCTCCCCACTGTGGAAATTCTGCAGCATTGCCATATGAGAGTTTATTATCATAAACTCTTTCAAAAGCCTTTGTTTTCAGGAAAGAATCAGCTCTGAATATAACACTGCTTCTAGGCACAATGAAAACCTCAGCAGGAAAAGGGTCCTGCAGTGCTCTGAATAAACATCTTGGTGCATGTCCTCTGTATATACGCAGCATGCAATACACAGTTGCTACCTCATATTTCCAATATGCCTGGAAGTTATTGCTTAAACAAAATAGCGTTAGTAAGAACACGCAGTTCCCAAGGGGGATATTCTGACACCCACAGTGCTGCTCATGAATGGGGCTATTACCATGGAAAACAAGCTTCAGCTTTTAAAATTCAATATTGATTTATGGTTCAGACTGTTATTATAGCATGCAGCAAAACATAAAAAGCCCCTAACTTTTTTAGTATTTAAGCCCCTTGAAGGAAGACCTTTATCTGCTCTGGACCTCAAACGAGCATCCTCTCTGAGAACGCAGTTTGATCGCATTGTGTTCGGGTTAAGGTCCTGCCATTCGCCCTTTCAGACCCTAACTGTAGGCAGGCTTAACAGTCCAGACTCCAATTATCAGAAGGAGAATGTAATTCTCCTACTTATTATCACATCTTCCTCTAAAAATTCAGAACGTACAACCAGGGTTGCCCAGAACCAGAGCCACCCATTTGCCAAATTTTTTCCCTTTGAATGGATGAGTACATTTTAATCCTATGCTGTATTTGTGCTCCTACAAACCCTAGGAAAGGCAACCAGCTCCTTCATTCAAAATGCAGCCTTCATTCTGAACCTAATAGCAATCGCTACCATAATCATATATTGATTTTAATTTGTAATGGACAGAAAATTCACCTAATGCAAATATACATCTCTGTCAAATTTTATTTTCTTCTTCCTAATTCCCTTTCCAATTAAATATATGCACATTGGCATTAACAGAGAAAGGTCTGGTGGCAGAAAACTGAAGTTTAATCATGTATTATTGAATTCCTAAGCCAGAGATGTGTGAAACCTTTCCTGTTAAACTTGGCCTTCTGGAGAGCAGAGAGCAGCGGGGCCTCCTGGCCAGCCAACCCACTGCTGCATGGCCACGCTGAACATGCATGGGATGAACGGGTGACAGGAAGAAAAATACCTGGTTCATTAAGGGCAAAAATTATATGGACACCACTGATGAAACGCTAACCATAAATCTTTTGTAATATGCCTGTATTTTCAGTTGAATGTAACTTTACCAAATGCTAACCATCTATGCTAAAGCTCCTCATGTTAGACACTGGGGTTCAGCAGTGGACAGAGAGCATTAACAGATAGATGGATAAAACAGGTATCAGAGATGGGTCAAGCTTTATGAAAGCTTTTTAGAAGAAAATCATGTTTCACATATGGTTGAGTTTTTTCATCGGTAAGGATGTAGCACAGACAATAAAGTGTTTGAGCTTTTTCAGAATGCTTTTCTTGAGATCCCTCAGCAAAGATTCTCAAGGAGCCTAGTCTGTCACGCAAGATGAAACGTAAAAAATTGTAACTCTTGCTTTTCACTTAAGAGAAAGCTGTTCTCTAAGGGTGAAAACAAACACAGAATGATTTTGTTTCAAAGAAGTTGTTCCTACTAGCTTTCACAATTTTGAAACCTTAATAGCCATATGATGGGTAATACCAACTTGCAATGGCAAAAGGGTTTAGGATCAAGGCGTGCGTCTGTCCTGTATCAAACTACTGATCGTTGTCTTTATTTTTTTACTGGAATTGCAGCTGTCCTGATTTTTTTCTGAACTCTCGCTGACAGTGGGAGCAGTATTTTCTGCAAACACCTGAGAGAGGCTCCTAGTCAGTGCCACCCAGCAGTCACAGTTAGCATATACTTCCATTTTCATGTGATTCGTCTGTTTAGAAACTCGCATGTGCAAACCTTGCATGTGGCACAGCTCCATCACCATCTGTTCCAATGTCTCCAGAGCACAGACAGCAAGGAGCTCTGACAACTGAAGCTGGAACATACGGAGAGGTTTTAGTGCTAGTTATTATATGAAAGCAGGCCTAGGAAAGAGGGTGAGATAGTTTGGACTGTCCTTTCACATTAACTTGGGTATCTTCTGATGCTTTGGTTGAGTAAATTGAGTGCTAAGTTTAAAATTCAGCAAAAAGAAAATAAATCCTCTAAGTTTCCCTAAGGAAACAAAACATGTTTTCAAGTTTTCCCTTGGAAGGGAAGGGAGGAAGACAAACAGAGCAAGAGCTACTAGCTATAATGCTCAAATATGTAGTTTCAAATTATTTTGGCACAGGAAACTGTTTTAACAGTTCCAGAACATTCAGACTGTGTAGTGTGGAGATCTCCTGCCCTACCTGCACATCTGCCTTTAGCAGAGGAGAAAGGTTGGGCTGTATCTCTGGGCCATCATCCTGCTTTCCGGCCTCTGGAGCCAGCTCATGGCTGCACACAGAAGTAGAATAATTTAGGTCAGAAGGGACGTCTGGAGGTCATCTAGCACAACCCCTTGCTCAGGGCCATCTGAACCAGTTATTTTCCTTGGGCAGTTATTGGTGACATAAACAACAAACACAGCACGCGCTGTTCCTTACCACACACCCAACGTGGGAGCCCAGCCCCACTCTCGCAGTTAGGGGTTGGAAAGTGGAGCTGGTGCACACTGAATACAAATTCATCCTTACAGAGCGTGTGGTGGAGTCTCCTTGGTACCCTGCTGAAGATCACGTTTGTTCCTGAACAATCACTCGGCGATGTTCCTTCAAGTGTTGAGCTTGAGAAGCATCAGAGCAGGGTGAATATGCTTTAATGTGAGAGAGCAATTTATTAGATTTTTCAGAGCTTCTTCCACAGCTGTGACAAAAACACTGTGTGGATTCACCTGGAAAAGACATGAGCTGGCAGTAAAACCATTGTTTAAAGAAAGTCTTTTTTCTTATTTTTTTTTTCTTTTACAGTGACCACTGCTATCTCAACAATTATCCCGAAGCTTCCTAAAGAACAAATCCCTTTGAGTTCAGCTGGTACATATGCTGATTTCACAGCACATAATTATGCAGGAAAATGTCCTCATAAGGATATTCAATAACAATATTTTGTGGCCATTTCATATTTTTCAGCCATGTTCTCAAGTGCTTTACAAAGGTAAGCAAATCTCTGTGCACACAAAGATGACAGAATGAACCCAAGGAATGCACGCACTGGGCTGCATGAGGGCCATCAGTGGTGGCAGAGGAGGGTAAGTGGGGGGGGAATGCTGGGGGTGGCAAGGAAAGCCAGGCAGCAAATGGCCATGGGCACGGCATCCCCATTAGCATCTGACAGCTTGGAGCAAGCTTTCTTTTCTCCACAAAAACGCTGCACTTAGCAGAGAACTGCACTCCAACCAATGTGCAGGATCTGTTCCAGCACAAAACAGATACGAAAACAGACAGAAAGGTCTGCTGTGCACTCCAAGTACCTATGCATCTGATCACTGCTCTTAAGTTCAGCCAAACCCACTGGGAACAAGAGAGCAGTGAAAAAACTGTCAGTATTTAAAAACTCCTGGAACGGCTCCATTTTTTAATCATTTCTAAGCTCCAAGTAAGCAAGAAAGGGCAAATGAACAGCTCTGACAACGTTCTGACTGACAACGTGTTAACATTTTTAAAGCACTCCTGGGGTGCTTTCCAAGCAGGTTTTGGGAGGTGGGAGCAGCGATCAGAGCGCGGCGCGTGCAGCCGGCAGCGCTGCTGGATGGCGTCTCGGCAGCTTCGGCAGCACTGAACGTTCTTTCATTTGCACAAACTCCAACAATCTGTCTCGGAAGAAGCAGCTCCAGGATGTTGCGACAGGAAGGAAATGTACTCTGTAAATGCTGGATTGTCCTGTGGAACTGCGAGATGCTGCATCTGAAGAAAACTAATTAGCAAATGCTTAAGATGCATGTCTAAGGACCGGGATTGATGTGCCCTGAAACACAGAAAGCTGATAAAGTTGAAATTGCAACAAGACATATGTCTGTTACCCTGTCCATTACTAAAGTCATCTCACACATCAGCTGGCTTTTATGATTGCTTTCCATCACCTACACGTCAGTGATGGAACAGCACTGGTATGCCAGAAATGCGATTCAAGAATGAGAAATGGGTGAGTTTGGAGTAATGTTCACTTATACAGGAACAATCAGCCCCAGACAGTTCATTCCTGCAGCACGCCAGGAGCCTTGAAACAAGGCCTCGGAGCTTATCAGGCTCCCACACCTTATCAGGCACCCGCAGCAGCGCGGTCTGTCAGGAAATGCAGTCATGGATTCAGCCGGGAGCACAAGCGCGCGGGCTCCTCTGACAGCAGGCGGTAAGTCAGACCTCGGTGTGTCACAGCAGCACTTGTGTCAGGCAGAGGGCCACAACAGGAAAAAACAATGGACTTGGGAGAAAACTTTCATGCGGGACCTGTACACTGATCCACTGCCATAATGCTCTGCCGCTTCCTGCGATAGCGAGGCACCAGCTGTGTGTGCTGGTTACTAACACAAAAAGCTGTCTCTGGCTTAATGCACACACTAGATCGAGCTGCTTAACCACCACTGAACACTTACACCAGATTATTCAAATGGCATGCGAATCCCTCACCTGAAGAGCTCAACTTTCCTAATATTTGGACCGCCATGAATTCAGGTGGCTCAACTTTGAGCACATTCATTCAAAATAGAAAGTATGCTTCCACACAGCTGTATTAACATGGAAACACTATTTATCAAGAGCCTTATGCTGTTTCATATTGGGATTTCAAACCCAGTGTTAACAAAACCAGGATGACCTCCTTATCTTTTCAAAAATAAAATAAAACAACAGCGCTCATATTAGAAACTCATTTTGCAAAGGTGTTACGTGATCCTCTGAGCAGGGCCTGAGGTCTGCACCCCACTGTCCTAGGCTTCTGCTCAGCTTGGCATGGCTTTTGCAGCCCTTGCCTTGCAGCATTTTATGGTTGCCTCATGTCCTTACTTGTCATGTCTAAAATACATCTTTCCTACTGAAGCAGAAAAGCTTTGGAATCACTTGAGAATCAGAACGTGATGTGTAAATAGTAATTTCAAGGGGCAAGTAGAGCAACTATGAGCATTGTGAAGAACATTTTCCCATCCTTTACAGCTGCTTATTTAACTGAGAGATACACCCAGTGGCAGAACAGCAATGTGCTACCTGAGTGACACCTAACGTTACTTGCACAGGACGCTGGTGTGCCAGAACGTGGCTGTGCAGAGCACTGTGTGGAAATCCAGACTACATTTTATTGGTTGATTATAATTGCAATTGAGATAATGAATGAAGTGAGCAGTCAGTCACATCTACAACAGCTAGCAGACAACAGCTAAGAAAGAACTGACAGATCTAATACAGTGGTGGAAAATGGTGCCAAAGCAATAAAGATGCCAGCACAAAACGAGAAAAGTCAGTCCTGGACCCACAATTTGCTCTGTTAAGTTAGAGAGTACCACGAAAAAGTACCAGGATGTCACATCTTTACACTTTATTCAGTGGAAACCTGAAAAGAAGAAAGCCTGCAGGGTTAGAAACCTAAGTCAGGGTGGGTGGGGATGGCAGATGTCTGGAAGGGAGCCTTGCAGAAAGCTTGGCACTTGTCCCAGGCTGGCAGCTCGGGCGCTGCGGCGGGAGGCAGCGCGCAGAGCCAGGCAGAAGCTGCTGCCGCAGGCGGCTGGGGGTCCCCAGCCCAGCAGGGCAGGCAGGCCGTGAGGCTCCTCATGTGGGACTGCCCAGCAAGCAGGTGGGGCAGGGAGATTTCTGCAGCCAGCTCGCCTGAGGACATGTTAAATAACAAGCAATCATGCCAGGAGAAGGGAAATGAAGTAGAACTAACAAAAGCACTTCGTGCTGCAGACAAGGACGGCCAGTCCCGAGGTCTCAGAGGAGCACCACACGTCCATGAGACTCTCCGTCAGAAAGCAATTGTATGACTGAGCTGATTGTTTGCTGAAATTCGTCCATTAGTAGAGATTTTTAATCATCACTATGTTACTTTTTCTCAGAGACAAAGAAGAGGGGACGGTATGTACAGACAGCTCTGAGAAGCCTTTGGTGATAGCGCTGTGCAGGGCACGTACTGGTGGCCATGGAGAACAGTTTACCAAAGGTTAAAGGAAACACTTCCAGACTCAGCTGATTACTGACCAGCCAGTCTGCGTGCACAAATGTATTCCAGCTCTGCAGGACTTCATTCCCTCCTTTATTCTCCACCTGTTGTCCAAGCAAAAGGCAGTAACAGTATGTTTGCTCCAATGCAGTTTAGCGCTGGCCTTCATGTTGACCTCATAGAGTAAATGAAAGAGGAACAGGAGACAACAGCAGAGGTATTTCAAAGCAATTTAAAGGAGGTGTTCATACACTATATTAGTATGCATTGAAATTAATAGAAAATTAAAAGTTGCTGAAGCCACCAGACTTGCTGTATGATCACCGATACAGTAGCTATGCCTTTAATTCAAAGATCTGGAAATACTTTGTAAGTACTCATTTTACACTTCCTCTGCAAAATACCCATTACTGTATCTACTTACAAACAGGTAAGCAAAGATTATATAAAAACAAAATAGGAGAGTAAAAAACAAACTTTTGAGTTGTCACTGCAAATCCCCCATTTCCTTATCAATATAAGATAGGATCTTTGCAGCTGAAGGGTTAAAAAAATCAGAATGTCATTAACACTGTCTTTGACATTGTATTATGAAAAAAAAAAAACAACAAAACACATTCTGGATGACAGAAATTACTCCCTGTTTTAGGAACATCTAATTTTGTTGTTGTTTTTCCTTTTTACAGGTCCCCATTTCTGACAACAAAATGGCATTGATGAGTGTATCACCTCTATCCCTTTGTGCTCACACCTCCGGATCTTAAACAAAACCCCCACACTGGTGAACAGACATGATGAAAAGCCTTCGCTCCAGTGGCACGTTGCAGCTGGCACAGCCGGGACTCAGCCAGCTTTCAAACCGCAGTGAGCTCAGTCCTGCCCTGGCAGTGCAGGGAGCCGAGCCCTCTGCCAAACCTGACACGTCTGCTGCAAGTAGGCGTAACATCACTATGTGACCAGTACAGCCTGAAGAATGCCTGCTCAGAGCATTAACTTCAGATCATTTCAAGTTCATCTTGGGTATTTACTGTCTTCCAAACAGCATATTCCAACCATGCTATCAGCATGACTCATTAATCCTCCGTCTACTGTGACAGCACAGTCATATCTCTGGCTTACATATAAAGGAGTTGAAGTAGTCATTCAATTTAACTCCAAGAAGAAGAAAAAGCAGTTTAAACCCAACATTTTTCAGCTATTTAGCTGCTTAGCTACCTGAAAACATCATACAACACATGACTGTTTGAAATCTCCACTCAAATTGGGAGGGTACGAGAAGCAGGTGCTCCGTAGCATTGCACCCAAGATGAACACTTCTGTACCTGCTAAGCAAAATGAACTTGGTGACTACATCCCAGAGCCACCACAAAACCGGCACTTTCCAAGAATGTTTGGGGTCAGAAGGAGCAGAAGGCCTGCAGGAGGATGGTGCTGGACAGGCTCTTGGACAGCACAGCCACCGCAGTGCAATGTTTGGTAGGAACTGCAGGGAAAGGGGCACTTCCAGCACAGCGGGTCGACCCCTGCTCAGGGTGTAACCTGCAGGCTGACATCTAAAGGCTCTGCTCTGCTTTGCTAGCTTGGTAGTAAGCAATCTGACCATCTGACTTCTGGAAAACATCTGCTCTGCTCCGGGGGAACTACATAACCGAGATCAAACGGCCCGTGTCCGCCAATTAGGAAAACAGCTCCAAGTGGAAGGACATCGAGCAGGGCTGCCATGGATCAATTGTGCTCTGATTTTATCGATCACCTGAACCACAATTAAATTAGCAATTTTTTTTTTATTAAGCTGTCTCTCAGGTAGCACACACAGATGGACTGACAGCCTTGATTTCCAGGTTTATGCAGGGCACAGTATACCAGGATCTTGATCTCAGCTGAAGCCTCCAAACATTGAGATACGAGAGTAATTAGGCCTTCACAAGATCATGACCATCAGATATTTTGGAAGAAAAAAAATGTATCTTGAGACCAAAATATCAATATTCCTTCCCAGAAGAAATGGATTTTTTTTTTTAACTGTCTGAAAATAAATATATTAAACAGTACAGGCCCATCCCTGTACATGTCTAATCCTGAAAGTCTTTTCAGAAATCAGTCCCTAACACACCGTCCAGCAGGTGAATGGCAACAGAACACTGTGCCTGCATCCGGTTTCCACATTTGGGTTGTTTTGTAAATTAAGGGGCACAAAGTGTAGCCTACACACACTTCACAACCCGATTCATTAGCCCTGTGAATCAGCATCAACCCTTATGATCATTTTAGGTACTTTGTATGATGAAGATCAATTGATTTGGTAAGGGAAATGTCTCATGCTTTAAAATCTATTTGTTATTTGTAGCTAAATCAATAGCTGTTTGTCAAAGACTTTTAATAATAACTTGATTCACAGAGAAAAATATTAGAGTTTTAAAAACTCCAGTAAAATTTGAGCATAGCTATGAAAGGAGAAAAAATGTTTTCCTGTTTCTTTCCCCAATTCAGCTGCTAGGCTTTTGCAATAACATCCCTTTAGGAAGACGATGAGGCAATGGAACCATTTCCCCACTGCTCCAGTTCATCTGTGACAAAAAGTGGAAGCTGTTTCTCTTTCAGATAAAAAGCCTAAAACAAACAAAAAGAACCTTGCTAGTTTCAGGCCACAGACAAGTTTTCCCATGCTGCTTTTTCTTCCCAAGAGGGCCAAACCAGTTAGCTCCAGAGGCACTGGCTGAACCTCTGCTCTGCAGCATGACTGCCACAGGGCACTTACTCCAAGCTAGCACTACACCCAGGCAATCAACCTGAATTCAATTTTTTTCAAGTAGAATTGGACTAATAGCAGTGTGCTGGTAGTTAGAGTAAATCTTTACTGCAGGTCACTCAGGAATCTCACTCCCTTCTTCGCATCCAGTGGACTCACCAACAGGTATCCCACCCGCAGACACGCACAGCATGTTCCCTGCCCTGCCTTTGCTGCACATTCTGCAGCTCCCCAGGCAAAGCACTGCAAGCACAGGTCCCTGGAAGCCCACCCTGCCCATCCGCCTAGCTGGCCTCCCCACATGCCCAGCACAACTGGACAGCCAGCGCTTCAGAGACCAGGAGCACACCAGGGCTCAGCCCTGCAGTACTGTCCTGGGCACAAAATGACCTCTGAGGTCCAATACATGCCCTCAGGCTGCCCGTTGGTGCTGTCAGCACTTCGTTCCCAGCACCTGCTGCAGGCTGAGACTTCAGTGCCGCGTGATGAGAACCTGCTCACTGCACCACCAGGGTGCCAGAGTCACCAAATAGATCATCTCCAGTGAAAACGCCCGTTCTTCTCCTTTCTTTTCCCCTTCCTCCCCAGTTGGCAGCTCAGCAAGATATATATGCAGATAAAAGCAGCATGTTCTAAAGGGACTAATTTTATAAATAATGCATTATGCTACCACTGGTGCCCTCACTCCTTGTGTTCCTTCCTGAATACCGACTGATTTTGTACAGCTCACTGTATCAGAGTCTGGGCCAGTCTACTCCTTTATTAAACAGTTCATTAAATAATTGGGTCAAATAGATACTATTAACATAATGGTGCTTGTTTAAGTCCTGTAAGAGAGAAAGGCATTAAGAAATAAAGGGGGCAGGTTTCTTCCCAAGCTTTGTTGCCTCCTGGGTGGTAGAGCATGGTCAACACAGCACCTGTCTGCATTTCCATTCCAGGTCAGCCTGGAGTGCCTGCTTGACATCTGTCTGTCATTCCCACTCCCATGCTACAATTTACACCGAGAGTCCAGTTTATGGGCCATGGGGATTGCTCTTCAATCTCTTTACTAGTATGGATCATTTCTAGTGAAGAGAAATAGAAAGTGATCCCTTCAGAAGTACAGCTGGCTGGCAAATGGTGAGATGGTCAAAAGCTGCTAGAGAAGAATATGCCCCTGCTGTTGTGGGCAGCTCTTCGCTGAAACATCCACATCCTTGGAGAGCAGGCAGTAATAGTTACTAAGTCCAGGACACGAAGCTCAGCTTAACAGTTCACATACTTCTCATTTTTTGACTCATTGTGGAGCAGCAACAGTACATTACAAAGCTTATTGAGGTAAGATCTTGGATTTTTACCTTATATTATTTTTTAAATTATGCCACTTAATGGCTACCACGTACAGAAAGCCACCAGTTAAGTTTCAACCAAAGTCCCCATATAGCTGACCATTAACACACCAGTAGGTGTGTGGACACCGTTCAGCAGCATCAACACCAGCAGCAAAAGATTTATTTGCATGCCAAATTTGCAAATTAAAAACGTGAACAGATGACTACTGAACATCTTGATTCACACTGTGTTTCTCCTGCTTGTCAGTTTCTGGCAGTTATGAATAGTAACTTGAAAAAGTGCTAAAAATAAAACAGATTCAAGCCCTGGCTCAAAATTCCTTCCCCCCCTTCCAATTTGCCTTTGGTACTTTGTTTGGTATTGCTAATAATAAAATCAATATGACTCATAAAACCACTGCTTTTATTTTAAAATAACAAATGTCTTACCTATGAAAAAGGTGCAAACCATAACCTCCAGAACTCATTCTGGCATTCAGTTGAAATGACACAGAGCTACAGCTCCAGCAGCCCGGCTGCAGCAGCCTGCCACGAGCAGGAGGCAGGGCAGCCCATGGCCACCTCCTCCCTGCCCCCAGCTTGGGGACTGGCCCTACCGCTGGTAAGAAAATCACTGGTCAGAAGCACAGATTAATAAATAGGAAGGTCCTTTTCCAAAAGTGACAAATCACAACTAAAGGCTGTCTGAGGGAATCCTGAATTAATCTTACTGTTAAAGTGAGTAATAGCATTTATTGCGTGCATTATTTCTAATAAACACAACAACTTTTTCTGTAAAATGATTAATACCATATTCAGTTTAAAATCTTCTTCAACCATGGCTGTCATAGAAACCAGGATTTTGTTTTCCTCTTACCTTCAGATGTTTGTTTTGGAAAATATATTCCAAAAATCTTGAGTGAGAAGTATTATTTCACCTGGGTTTAAGGAACAAACTGCACTGCATTGACTTGCACATAGCATTAAATAGCACCTGCACCAAAAACATCCAAGGCCAGATTTATAAAAACACTTTGGTGATGGACAGCGTGGATAGAGGTTAAATGAAATTTCCAGAAACTTCTATGCCCCACACTCACCGTGATTCTCCTAGAAGACAAGAGTCCCATTGCCACTGGAAGTCCCTCTATAAATACTCAAGGGTGGTAACTCTTAAAATTTCACTTCACATCACTATCACAAAACAAGGGCTCTCCAACCCAGTAGTTTAAAGGATCCAAGTGAATGGTGTCATACTGTAAACCCCACTGCAGCTCTAACCACCATGGAACAGTCTCTCTCAATTTCCTCTGTATCTGCACTGCTATTACTGACCATGGCTGTGGCATCTGTTAACAGAAAGAACAAAAAGGCAATGAAGAGAGCTGCTGAACAAAAATAGTTAGGTTTTGAGGACCGTGTTTCTGTAGGTACTTTGCATGTTAATCTCAATTCATCATTAAGGTATGCTTCAAAAGGCATAAATTTATCACTTCTAATATGGCAAGAGACTCATAAAAATTAATCAAACATCTGGTTCTGATCTTAAGACAACCTTTGCTTTGCCTAGCAACTACCATTAACTGTGAAAATTAAAGTATCTTTACAAGAAATGTAACATGAAAATTTATGCCCGTTTAGCTCTATGCCTGAAATTCTGCTGCTAGATGAGTATTTCTGCTTTAATTCCGCAGACAATGGCAGGAAGGAGGCAGATGCTAGTCAGAGCAGGCAATGCATATATTTACACGCACATGCCATAGTAGCAATGGGGTTGGAACGGGTGGCAGGGTTGCTAAACAGGCCATTTAAAATCAAAGAGTTGTGTTCATCCGAGCCAGAAAATAGAAAATACAAAAAAGTTTGGTGTGGAAAACAGCCTATTTATGTTAGATACTTTATGAGAGGTCTTTATGAGAGAAAGATTACTTTGTTCAGAACCAAATGTTCTACACATTAAGCATCCAAACAGCGTAAGAAGAAATATTAGCACACTTTATGGATCCTGCCACGCCGGTGAAACCAGCTTATATAAGTTTATTCACGTCATTCATGCTTTATTGTTGACTACTAGCTTCATTTTGTCTCTTGTATGAAATAAATCCTCTCAGTTTACCTCCAAGAACTCCTAAATTCAGTTTTACCACACAAGCATCTTATAACGGTGAGGTTTCCTCATGCACACAAGCACTGTTGCTTCAGACAGGCCGTGCATTTACTTAGTGAAAGAAAAGCAGTGGATCAATGAGTTCCTTTCCCTTCCTGCCACCTCAGTGAATCTCCCACAGCCTCACAATCAGATTCAGCAGGATGCTGGCAGCTTGGAAGAGGTACAACGAGTGACCAGAGTTTTGCTCAGGGTATGGCAGGACTAGGGCCCAGTACAGTTACTGGGGAGCTGTGCAGCACAGCCTTGTTTTCCCGAGAGCAATAGCAGAGCAGACAGATGTTGGGGCAGAACACGCACAGTGCACGTGCTGTAAGTACAGCAGGTGCTGCTTAAATTCTGTGATTCTGAAGCTTCCTCCCGGTGTCTGGTGGTTGTGTTCTGACAGACTGATGCCTGCCTTCCACACAATGCACCACTTCCCCGCTGTACTAAAAGGCCGCTACAGATACCACCCACGCGTGCCTCTATTTTAAAGGCTCCATCCAACTGTAGTGTGGATGATATACCTCTGAACACATTATCAACAACCTTTACTGTAACAGCAGAAGTTACTGAAAACTGAGGCAAAGAAGTCATTGAGTTCCTCAGCTCTGTGCACTGTCACAAAATCACCCACTGGATTCAGCAATGAGCCCCCGTTTTCCTTGCTCAGCCTTTACTGCTAATTTAGCAGTAGAAGCTCATCTTGTCGCCCTTGATGTCCCTTGCAAGTCTCAACTCCAGTTCTGTTTTGGTTTACCTAACATTAACCCATGTTCCTGGCCAACGTTTCAAAATTCTCCCTTTGCAGCTTGTCCTCTTTTCCACCCCCTGTACTCTGTGTTTTGTGTCAGAGCTTCATCATACATTGCATCGTTAGCCAAGCCAATCTCTTGATACATCTAAATGTCTTTGTGCATATTGGGATGGGTTACTCTTGCACTTGAAGGATGCTGTTCTGGAAGGTCTTCCAGCTTTCCTGAGCTTTTTGTGCTTCAGAGCTGCCTCCCATGGGCTGCCAGACACCAGTTTCCTGAAAAAACTCAGGGCTGCTCACCCCATGTCCGGTGTCTGTAATTGGCTCCTTGCCTTTCGCACTCCCCCCAGGATCTTTTTGGATTGCTTTTCATGCATTTCTTCTGATGTTCCTAGAGGAATGAATGTTTCATTAAACAAATATGCCACCAGCACAATGAAAAGATGTCACAAGGTTCTTGCCACCATTTACAAACACCAAACTCATTTAAACTCTGTCTATAGTGTTTTTTTAAAATTTAGGACTAAACTATTCATTGCTCTGTATAGTTTCAAAATTTAAAACTCACAGAACATACAGTATATAAATATATAAAATACTCTTACCTCTTTCACATCTTGAAAATATTTGAGTACATGATCAGGTAGGTAGTAAGCAGTGTGCAGACAGCTCTGCCCCGTACACAGTACATACAGTTAAGAGAGCAGTCACGTAACAGGAACAGGACAGTTTTTCTGACTTTTGTATTTCTGTTTTTGTAGCAGAAGTAAAAATCTGTAACAAACGAGGATTTTGGGATGTGTTTATACCCTTCCTCTGAACTCAGCAGGAACTTTACAAATGACCTTGAACATGCAAGATGAAGTCTATGACTTTCAAGGAGAAGCAAAACAAGGTGAAGATGTGATAATTAGCTCAACTTAGGTACAAAAATGGCTGCAGGAATTAGAAAAGCATAGCTGTAAATATTTGTTTTATAGGCTCAAAATATACAATGAACTAAAAAGGCAAGAAATTAATTTACCATGAACTGCACAATCACCAAAGAATTTTACTGCAAACTGTAAAAGCTACAATAAAAGTAGCAGTGGTTTTACAGCTATTATAAAGTTTGAATTCATGCATATTGCTTCTCCAGTGCCATTAAGAGAATATAATGTAAAATTCACAGTGACTTTGTTTAGTTATGAAAATGATAATTTATACAAATGAAATACAGACAACAGAGAAAGATATCAAGAGTCTTTAATCTGAATTGATTTCTTCACTTGTCCTGTTATTTCTGCTACTTTATGCTACAGGTTTATGTTGTATTTGTTCAAACAAAAACACTCTTCCCCTCCCCCCCCCAAGATACCACATGAACCATTTTCGTTCTTCTAATATTTTCACGCAAATGAACAGATATAGAGAAAACACATATGAAAATGTTTGAGCTGTAAAGTTTTTAAAAGGAAGTATTTCAGATATCTAATTAATTGCAGTGTTTTTCAGAGTCAGATAGTTTACTCACACTATTCTAAAACCAGCTTTTCCCCTCTAAAATTTGACTTTTGCTTTTTTCTTTTCAAAGTTCAATGTCCATAGCCTAGTTCAATGAGGCTCAGGCTCTAAATTGCTTTTGCACATTAATTTCATAGCAGCTGGATTTGCAGAAGCTTTGATCCTGGTATCTCTTTGGCATCTTTACATGCCCTTATGCTGACTTTTTCCTCCCTCAAAATTCTCATTAAAAAGACAGGATTGAGTTCTATGTGCTTGTTTGTTTGTTTGTCCCCCTCTTTATCTAGTTTTGCTCTCAGAAAAGTCAGCAGGCTTGCTGGTTTCAGCTGTACAAGACTAGTTCACATGAAAGAAAGTTGGTGACTTCATTTTACACAAAATTGGAAAAGTTAAAACATTCAAATAAGTAGATGACATGATTAACTAACTTTTATTTTTCCTTAGTGTTTAGGCGGAAGTTCGCTGTTTCACAACATTAAAAAAAAAAGTCTTTAAGCCCTAAATTAATAGTAGTTTTGTGGAAAATACATATATAAAAAATTCTAAAGCAAATCTCATACAAAATCACTATGGATTAGTCACACGATGTATTTGTCAGTATGCTATATTTCATACATAGGCATATTGTTTTGTAAACTTCGATTTTCGTATTTTATCGCTTTCATGCTTTAAAGTGTGACTGCTGACTGAGGAGAATACAGAAAAATGATTTGTTTCACTCTCTAGAGAATCTGGGTACCTGAAGAATGCCATGCTGATAGGTACCGTGCCTCCTGTCTGCACTTCATGGCATACACCTCCCAAGCAAACAACCTGAACGACACAGTGGTCCCAAAGGTTAATAGGGACGGTGACCTCTGCCAGGCAGCACAGCACCAAGTGTAATTCGATTAATGTACTGCCGAGATAACAAGAAGATAATCAGGCACTAAATTAAAGTGTGGAGCGACGCCTTTACATTTATCTTTGCTCAGTGAAAACAGAACACAAAAATAAAACAATCCCAACTGAGTTACTCATCTCTGATGCTTTTAAAATGATAAACAGGTTAGAAGTGTCTTCCAGAAAAAGAGCTCACACCAGACATTTTGGCACCCCTTTTGCAAGCTGCAAAATGGGATGCATGTCACTACCCAGCCAACAAATTCATCACCACGCATGCCGCTTTGATTCACCACGTATTTCCAAGGGAAAAGGGCCACAAAGAGGCAAGGGAATGTAACGGAGGGGCAGAGGAGCAGTCTCAGGAGATGCGAATCTTACACTGCTCTCTGCCATTTCTTTCCTAGAAATCTAACTCTTTCTTGCTTCATTTCTTCCTTGGCACTCTGGGACTGACACCGCTCTCCCCTTCTCTTTTGTTAAATGTTCTGAAACCCACTGGGAAAAGCAGCACGAAGACACAGCTGAGTGCATTGTGCCGGTAACTGGGGCTTCGAACCGGGCTGGGCCCGAGCAAGCCTTGCCCCCAGGTGGCACCTCCGGAGGTGGCTTTCTGCCTCCTGGGGCTTTCTTTGTGACCTGCCTTTTTAGAAGGAAAAATACATTTCCTTTTCAAGTGAGACATTTCTCACGAAGGAAACCACAATGTCAAACTTTTCCTGAAAAGACAGGAACACGGCGAGGCATGCTCGGCCACCGCGGTACCAGGACGCCCCTGGAACCAGGCGCGGGCAGCGGAAAGGGGCACTGAGCCCCAAAGGAAACGGGTCTGCTGCAGCAGGGGCAAGCTGCAGCAACATCTGTAAAGGCTGATAATAGATCCGCTTCCTGAAATTCTTCCAGAACTGCTGTGAAAAGCAGGAAGTATGGGCAAGGGAGAGGAAGAAAGTTACAGATGAGAAAAGAAAGCTCTGTTCCCCTCCTTCCATCCCCCAAACTGGCTGGGACTGTGGATGTTGCAGGTGTCATTAATGAAGTCTCTATATCCCAGAACTATAAAGGGCCATCAGGGTTCTTTCTGCCATGTGCCAGTCCTTTGCCTCCAGTTTGGGTCCACGCTCCAAGCAAATGGGGATGAAACACAGCCCCTTCCCATGGGGGCTGCATGCCCCAGCAAGCCTGCTCTCCTCCAGCAACCAGCAAGGCCGATCCGGACCCAGGACCTACAAAACTCTTACCTAGGCTCAGCTTTGGGCTACTGTAACCAAAACTGGCACTTTAGGAACAGCATTTAATTATAAGGAATACCAGCATTTTGAAAGACTGACCCACTAAACCAAAGCTGGCAAAGCCAGCTTCAAAGACGCTTCCTCCTTCCCTCCAAGAAAGACAAAATTCTCTCCCAGCTCCACAATGTCCCATGAGAAGGAAGCACAATAGGAAGCAGCACGAGGGGGGAGCATCGCATGGTAGCACCCTGAGACATGGGGCCAAGAGCTTGGCTCTGTCACAGCCACTGCTCAGCCACACGCCTGCGCCTGGGACCTGCACACCTCGGTACGCTCAGTTAAGATCCTCTACTGCAGGCCAAAACCCTCACATTGATTTGTGTCCAGAAATGAAATAGTAACCAGTGTTGTCTATTAAGCAGAGACAGGCTAATAGCAAGGAAAACAATTAGTAACTATCATGCAAATTCTGAATTGCCTTTTTCTTTTCAGCCACTTTTTTTTTTTTGGCATCCATGAAAATTGCTTTTGTTCACAGTAATATTTGGAAAAGAGGTTTTATTTATGCAAATAGATGCATTTCTAAAAAAACAAATTTGCATGTAAATGAGTGTATTTGTGCATCAATTAGTGAATTTGAGTTCTTCTTTGCTGCAAACACACATCCATTTAGATGGTTGTAAATGACTAGTGAGAGGGAAAGAGGAAACATAAATGAGTCAATTTTCCTGAGCACTTGACAGATACGCAAAATGCCTATTGTATGGGAGACAGGGAAACTATACAAATGCATAAAGACAGCAGCACAAAGCAGTGTAGTCAACAGAACTGTAATTCTTGGTCAACCTTTTAAGTCTTCTGAGACACAAAAGAAAAAAATGGTACTCCAAAAAAAACAAAGTTTATTCTGTCTACATTCTGCAGGCACGCTAATAGCACTTCATTGGAAAGGGTATCAAAGACAACTAGATCTTTAAAAACTGACAACAGATGGAGAAGGGATTGCTGGTAAAACCAATCCCTTGATAGGACCCCTATCTGGTGTTAGAAGATAGAACAGTAAATCCAGGTGTGACAACAAACAAAAATCACTGAACAGATTGCCTTGACTTAAGAAAGCAAGCTTGAGTAAGGATGTGAACACTGTCACTAAAAACCAGTGTTTTCCTTTGGACAGAAGGGGAGATGGTGGCAAATCTTTCTGCTCACTTTCCAGGAAGTTCTCTTCAGAAAACGAAGACCTTTGCATGCACTCCAGTACAGGGAACCCCAGGTTTTGCTGACACATTCATACATTCATTACATGTGGTAACAATTACCTTGCCTATTGTCTTTTGCTAATTTAAGCATATGTTCCCAAAAGTCTTCAGTGAAATGGAAAGTTCACAAGACCATCTGTTATTTATTAATTCTTATTTCATCTGTTCCTTCTGGCTACCCGTGCCTAGAACAAGACATCTCTTGCGGACTGGAGTTGGAAAGAAAAGGGAGGGAAGAAACTGCTCGTAGATTCAGCTGACAAGGCTGTGGTCAAGCCAGGACCAAACAAAAAACTTCCTATTGTGCTCAACACAACGTGTCCGTAATAATCCTCAGAGAGGATTATGGCTGTTGTGTAAAAACAGAAGCAGTTTTTCTTCAGGGCAATTTTCACTAGAAAAGGGTAGCTAAATCACACTTTTGACACAAGCTACAAAAAATGTTCATGTACGATTTTAGTACATCCTGATTTTCCACCTCCCTTTCATTCACATATTACCTTCTGCGTGCTGATAATCCTGTAAATCACTGATGTTTGACTGACAGTAGAGTTCTCCCACCAAGCAGAAATGTGAACAGAAAACAGAGCAAGACAACTGGTTTAGACTACAGCTTATTTTTGTCCTGTTTCAAGACCAGTAGTAGGTGCAAGCTGCTGTGAGGAAGACCATAGATATGACTCAGAAGTTTGTCCTTTATAACTTGTAGACACACAGTGCCACTTTGCCAGAGATTATATGGAACAGTGGAATTCAAACAAAATCTCTGAAACCACAGAAGCAAAAGCAAGACTGACTCCTGAGAAAGCCCATCAAAAGGGGAATGGGCAAACTGAGAGCACACGGCCATGGTGGAGAAGGGCTAGAAAGCAGATTGCCATGAGTATCACGAGGTCACTGCTACTAAATCACATCAAACCAGAACCATTCAATTCTTATATCCCCTTCTCCAGTTCATTTCCCTGAACCAGGACCACGTACACATACACTGGATGAGTAAACTACTCGTGCAATCACAGGTAATAGTAACAGAGTTGCACAAGTATTAAACTGCATGGCATGTAACAGGCAGAAATCCTAACTCTTGGTGTGCAAAGTGACTCCGCAAACACCGAGTAACTTGTCAAATCCACAAATCTAAATTCTTTTTTTGGCCTCATTTACATTAGTCATGCAAACTGTTGAATCTTAAATAAACCTAACAACCTATCCTTTAAAATCCAAACACAGGAAGATCTCTATCCCATTATGTTAGCCCATCGCTTCATCCAGTGTTATCCAAATCCAGATTCCTTCTTCCATCTGACTGATTTCAACAGAGATGCTCATCTTCCTTTGAACTGACTGTTCATGCAAACTCAGTCACTGAAAACCAGCTGTAATTCTCTTCACTGATTGCATTATTTCTGCTGTTAATTTCAGCAGGATTTTAGGGTGAGGAGCTCCAGAAGGAAGGA